AATGGTCCCGGATCCTGGTGGTTTCCAAAGTTTCTACTGGTCCTGCGTCCCGATGGGCCGTGTACGGACAAGGCTTCACTGCAGTGGATGTTGGATGATTAGATGTGTCCTCCTTCTGTTTGTAGGTCATGTAAGGTCAAGTCAGGTTGCACAGGACTGAATGTAGCCACAGGCAATCGAGCGTCCAGAATTCCTTCGATGGTATGCTCACAACGTGGGCAACCAGCACTGCTAAAATGAACGAATGAGAAATAAAATCTCATCTCACCAAGTTGGCGAGTGAATTATTAGACGTGAGCATTCAGCATTCCGTGCGTGTACCAGTAAAAAGGGAAAAGGCATCCTAAACATTTGGCACACCTACACTCGTCTTCATGAGATTGAACTCCCACTAATGCGGTTTTGGGGAGCTAGTGTGAAGAGACTGTCCGCTTCTATCATCGATATTCCCTTCATGATTTTGAAGGTTCATATCAGGTCTCCTCGCAATCTCCTTCTTTCTAATGAGAAAAGTCCTAGTGCCCCAAGTCTTTCCTCATATGTTTTTCCCCTCTGGCCTTCAACCATTCTTGTGGCCAATCTCTCAACTTTCTCTAAACAGGCAGCATCCTTCTTGAATTAGAGTACAAGAAGGTAACCAGAAATGGGGAAAGGGCAGGGGAGGGGGTTAAGTATCTGCATGCAGTGCAACAGATCAGAAAGTTAGGAAAACATACGGATTTGAGTGAACCCCATCGGCCGCGGAGATCTTACCGTTCAGGATTTAGGCTAAGATGCAGGTCTAGTTTCCGTTTGAATGCGGCTTTTGAGGGGGCATTAACTACTTCTTCGGGTAGATTATTCCAAAGAGGAATGACCCTGTGGGTGAAAGAGCACTGACGGACTAGAGTCCGAGCACGCGGTTTAAGGAGTTTCAGACTGTGGCTGCGAAGACTATTCATACTAGAGCGCGTAAAGAAGTCATCAACCCTGCCAGAGTTGAAGAGGTTGTGGAGTTGAAGATGTCGCCTCGTATCCGGCGGGTTTCAAGGTTGTATAGATTCAAAATGGAAAGGCGAGTTGAGTATGGAGTGGAGGATAAGCCGTGAACAAGTTTTGTCGTCCTCCGTTGTACACGCTCAAGGGCCGTACAGTCGCTCACCAAGTGAGAGTGAGCGATTTGACTCCCATATTCCAATAATGGTCGGATAAACGTGCTATGGAGAATGTGAAAGTCATCTTCGTCTAGGAAGTTAAGGATACAGAAAGCAGACCTGCTGGCTTTTTAATGGTGGTAAGAAAACGAGAGAGACATGATCAGCCAGAAACCGAGAACTTTATGGTGTTCTACATTCTCCATGATCGAAGAAGGGCTAGCCCTGAAGGTGTGTGCAGGGACTCTCCCAAATTTCATACTAACACATTTATCGTAATTTATAGAAAGCTTCCAGACTGTGGACTAGTCTTTGACTGCATCCATCGCTGATTGAACAGCCACAGGGTTGGTGCCTCAAATTGTCACATCGTGGGCATACATTACGAAGTTGATTCCAATCCTGTGTGGTCATTGGCGTATATGAGGAAGAAAAGAGGGCCAAGGATGAAACCTTGACGGACTTCAGTAGAAATGAAAGAGACAGATGAGAGCGATGCACTTACGCGGACCGAGAAAGAGCGGTTCTTGAGGAAGTCGCGAATTAAGGCCAAAAGTCTGCCAATGAGGCCATATGACTCGAGTTTATAAAGTAGGGGGGCATGGGGAACTCGATCAAAGGCGTTTGCGAAGTCGATGAAGATGGCGTGGGGAATCAAGCCGTCATTATGTGCTTGAGTTAGACTGTTCATGACAGATAGAATATTGAAGATGCAGAATCTGCCTGGGAGAAAACCGTGTTGGGTTTGAAGTTTTGAAGTGATTCACGGGTTCGAGGCTGTTGCCCAAATGTCCCGGGTCCTTGAAAGGTATCTGTGTTTTCTTTTGGATCGAATTTCTTCTAGAACAGAGAGTACTGAGAAGGCATTAGCAGCGTTCCCCGCTCAAGACGAGAAATAAAATGAAGACTTGCGAACTCCTTTATAATTCAAAATGTTTCTCAATTTAATTGGGGGTGAGTAGATAAACCTAAGGGGTGGTCAAGACGACATTAAAGACCGCCTTGCTGGGGGTGCTGGCTATCTCTTCTGGAAGGGCATTCCATAAGGATTTCACCCTGAAGGTGATAAATGAGGT